GTACAGGTTTCGAAGATAAAAAATGAGTCTTTAATCAGTTAAAGGACAAGGCGATTCGCTAAAATTTGTGGTACTACCTATCGACGGTTCTGTTCTTTTACAATGGCGGCGACCGCCATAAAGGGGGAGAGCTCGGGGAATTGTAGGATGCGTGTGTTTGACTGTAAATCAAAAGATTCGTTCTAATCTTGCGAATACGTCGACGAGTTTGTTCGACGGTGTCACGCTGTCTGCACCGTCATAAATCGATAAGCACGTTACCACGTATTCTTATCGATAACGGCGTATTTACCGCGGCCGCGCTAGATGCGCGCCTTCGTTTCTTGCTCGGATAATATTGCGAATTGGAAAAATCTCTAAACAATAGCAGATTTCACAAATAGTCTATTATAAGCAATATCATCGTGATTATATAATATTTGCACGTAACAGTGATAATGATTATCTGATTTTTCTGATGACCGTTACAACTCTTCGTTTCTATATATTCCTATTTCACGTTGCACAATACGCTAACGTATTGTTAAATGTTCTTTCTGTAAATTGTTTAACCCTTTGCACTCGACTGTTTTTTCGTGGAAACATTCAACAGTTTCTGATAAGATATAGACGAGATTTTTTGAGATTAAGTTAATGGGAGATTACAGGTACAATGAAGAACAAAATTAGTTTATTTGAATATTTCATATGTGGCGTTATCAAAAGGTTGATATTAGGTATCAAATTTTGTAACTTTGGTATATCCCGAGTGCAAAGGGTTATATATACAATTTGTGTAATGAAAATTAATGTTATTGTGAGAAAGGTTGGTTTTAGTAGGTGTTAATGTAAATAAGTTCGATTGGAATCATGAACGTGTTTTAATTCCGAGACGTTAATTATAATTTATTGGAAAGTCGTAGTTGTAATGAACAAGAAGCAACTTTGGTTAATTGAAATTCAATTATTTCAGTTTTCCGCAAAATTGATAACGTAAGAAAATATTCAATATATCTGAATGTAAGTATTTATTTTACGACTGAACATTTATTACTTTGATAGGTTAATAAGATTGGGGAAAGGCTTAATTTAGTATATACGGAGTCTGTTAAATAACGATTTCTGTAGAAACCTCGAAACTCGAATATGCCGTAAAATTGGCAAACATTGGAAATAATGTATTATTTTCTGAGATAACATTTGTCAATTTGTTCCGCTTATTAATAAAACAAACCGTATGAACTTTTTGTGTTCCGTGTCACGAACGTGGAAATATGTACATACATTGTTCATGAAACGAAGAATGAATTAACACTAGTGAAAAAATTGAGCATACGAATGAATAAATATAAATTTAAATTATTTTCAATGTAAAATAAAGTATAATATTTCAAGAGATATTCTAGAATAGTATAAAGTAATTGAAATATATGATAAACCCCTACTTTAAATAATTAATAATATATCGGTTTCGACTGAAACAGTTATGAAGAACTGAAATAAATCACAATTTTATTTGGTGCATCGGTTCTGAGCTATATCAGTTTCGGTTTCGTTCTTCAGAACCGATATTATATCGGTTATTACCTATAACTGTTATCCTTAGCTTTATGAAACAGTTCTGAAGAATCAAAATGAAGAACCGTAATGGAGAGCCGAAAAAGAATGTTCAGAACGTTTCTTTATTACAAAGTAATTAATGATGATATATACATTTATACATGTAAAGATATATATAAAAATGTACATAAAACACTTACCTAATACTTATACAAATATATATAAAATATGTACTAGATACTTGGTATATATAAAAATATTTAACATTTTATTCTAATATATGTATATTTTAACACCTGCTCAGTCTCTAGAACTTAATCTACTGGTACGAAAAACTGAAACCAATACGTTGAATAACAATTATGACTTACTTCGATTCTTCATAACTGTTTCAAGAACTGAAACCGATATCACAACTGTTTTCAATTCATGTGTGATAGTGTTACTGTACATACCTACACTAACAAACACAATCACAATAAATTATAACTGCAGTATTAATTGCTTAATAGTGTACAAATTTCACTTCATAATAAAAACTAAAATAATACTAAATAATTAACACCAGAACTACTGCACTAGTTAAATTAACGGGTTTCAATTCCTTATTTCGCAATTATTGCGATGTTAAAAGTGTTAAATATCCGAAATTATGTTTAAAATAAATAGTTCCACTTGAATACTACAACAATTACACAATTTTTATAAAGATCAGATATTTATTCTATTAAACGCTCATTGGTTCTAGCGTTAAAATCTATAGAAAAAGGTTCCTATGGTACCATAAAGAATTAACCTATTACGGACGAAGGTTTTTTAAAGTATCCAAAACCTTTAGCGGATTAAACTGAATTATACGTCGAATGCTTAACACGTACGTCGCACGATTTCATAGAGCAGAATACACAAAATGGAGCAAATGTAATATTAAATCATTGGATTAAATGGAGTTATTATCATTGTACGTTCATCTAGCTGAATGTCACCGCATTAGGTAGCATTATTTATAACATCCAAAATATTTTCAAATAATAATTAAATCATTCCTTTGCAATACAGTATCCCAAATATGAAATCTCGATGTGGCTAATATATCGACATTCGTCCACAAAGGGTTGAACGCCCAAAATATGAAACGATACGCCTGTATAATTGATATATTCGAATGTAAATGGCTTGTGCATAATGTAAATGCGTGTTCTATACTACCAGTAACAAGAAGGTGGTTGTAACTTTAGATGCATCGACGGAGAAAGAAAAGAAAACGTTTACTTTTGATGTCGAATCAGTAGCAACCGGCTCCAAAATATCACGCTGGGCAACATCGTTAGCGTATAATGAGATTACGAGGGCCAATCTCGACTGGAAGGTCAGCATATGAAGGGCCACGAAAGAAAGGAGGTGGCTCGTGCTGTCGAACAAGAGAAAAAGCTGCAGCACGTTCCAATTAATACTGTTGGTAACGAAACCGTGTTGCTGCCGCGGTTGAAGCTCCTTCGAGCCTGTCGATTTAATCGATTCTCCTTTTGTATTGTGTCCTTATTGATTTATGGCTATCTTCCGTGACGTCTGTCGGACATAAATTATGTCTACCGTTCGCGCTTTGTTTTAATCGAGGTATCAACGTTCGACAGCTCAGGGTAAATCTTCTTCGCGTAAATTAATTGTGAAGCTCTAATAAAATATGCGGACTGAATATTTTTTGTATATTCGATCGAGGAGATCGGAACACTATTTGATGCTGGAATTTGGTGATCTAAATTTTATTGTTTCATGAATTTGCGAAGAAACGAAATGATTGGAGAGTTTGATCAATAATAGAGAAATAAATTGTGTGAATGTTAAGAAAACTGTTGATTATTGATAGCTATTAGAAAAGGTTAAATAGTGATTAATTTTACAATATTCATAGAATGAACATAATTTGTAGATTCATAAAATGAACATAATTTGTATGTATAATATTAAAATATTAAATATTATATTTCTTATATGTTCTTATGGACTATTCACGTCAATCGAAATTATGTGAAGTAACGAAAAAGAGAATAAGCAAGTTTTTTAAATTAATGTCTGATTAATATGTAGAAATTGCAAAAAAAATATTGGTATGGGCAGTGGAATTTACAAATAACTATCTGACAACTAAATTTAACATTAGAAGGCTGATAAAATACTTTATGCTACCAGTGATCGGCAGGGGGTACCAGAAAGAAATGAATCACGTTTTCAGAAATGATAATTAATCTCTTCGCCTCTGCAGAAATTGATTAAAGTTATTAACAAGTAAAGATTACCTGTTACTAGCGAATTGTGATTAAAAAATAATGTAACATTTCTGCGAAGCCTCATAGTTCAAAAGAGTTGCTCCAAATAGAGGTATCATTATCAACTGACGTATTTAAGTAGGTGTGTCATCTGCGTTATCAATGTTTCAAATATTTTTTAATTACAAAACAAGAATTATAAGTTTACCCTTTGTGGATGTCCATTTATTAGAAAAGTTCAGTACTCCTAATTGCTGAACTTTCGTGTTTACATATATTGATTGAAAAATGTCCATATTTATTAAGTTATTTATTAAATATTCTAAATTATTTATTAAATATATATTTCTATATAACACGATGTTGCAGTTGGAACGATTAAAATTTATAAAAATTAATCTTGTACAAGCTTTAAAACACGAAGCAACGTTCATAGCATCAATTCTCCGTCACATTTTCTATTATTTTCTTATTGTTCCACCTTTCCTTACTTATTTCATTATAAATTAGCGAACACGTTCAACGCGTAATCAACACCAAATCCACGCGACGATCGCTACATTAAAATACAAAATATCGAGTAGCACCGAAAGCGTTACGCATTGAGTTCAAAAATCCCCCAAACATCAGTACAACAAAATAATTCCCAAAAATAAACAAGCTAATTTCATTCTATACCAAAACCACACCCGATGGAACTCTAGTACTCCTAAATCATTGCTCCGAGTTTCTCTTTAAAAATATAAATCCGCGAGTTGTTTCGCTTTAATAAACGACCGGCGAAACAAACAGGCGAATTAATTCGCAGAGCGCACGACTGCGGGCTACAGGGCCGCGCGAATATCGAAGAAATTTCTCCGTAGCAACCCTTCCCCGCGCCGAGATCGCGGCCGGGGTCTCGTTAGCCACGGAAATGGCATTTCAGACATCCCCGGCAGCGCAAAACCGGTAAGCGGAATCCTCCGCGCCGGTGGAAGCTTAGAAGAGCTCGGCGGCAGGGTGTGCAGGGGACGTTCGCCGGTGGATGAGCGTCGCGACGCCCGGAGGGGTCACCCTGACCCGGAAGCTCCGCCCCTGTAGAAGTCGAGCCGCCAACCGGCGTATCCAGCGTTCAGGACACGGTAGGAGGAGCCACCGTGTCCCGTTGGCGCCTGGTAAGCGGCGACCCTGGAACCTCGACGACTGCCTGTTGGCATTTAGTACTGCGCCGACTCTCGAAGTAACGTCGTCTTCTTTTTTTTCCTCTGTCCTACGAGGTGTATCTTGCTCGGCTGTGCGTCGTCCTTCGATTCGGACACATGACAACAGTCCGCGGGAGACGGTTTCCGCCGCTGATCGTGATCGATACTCAGTGGAAAGAGGATTCAGCTAGGATACAGTTCATTTAGTTTCCTGAAATACATTCAAGGATTAGTCCACGTCGCGTGGACTACATGGAGGAGAAAATGGAGCCGTTGACACCCCCTCACACGCCGCCCACGTTGGACAGATCGATGCAACAGCAACAGCTACCGATGACGTCGTCCAGGTGGATGAGGTCCTCTCAGCAGCTAGCCGGGAGATTCGTGCAACAACAACCAGCCACTGGCCAAAACGTTGGCTATCAAGCTGCGTTCATCGACAATTGGCTGCGCGGAGCTGCACTCCTGGCTGTCAGGGGTTGTTGCCCCCAGACGACCGCCTCGCATGCTTATCAGCACCAGAGCCATCAGGGACTGCATCCCGCGTTTCCGGTACCGCCGCCGGCGTCGTTCCTCGCCAGGAGACTGCCGGGTCAGAGGCCTAAGAAGCAGTTCATCTGCAAGTTCTGCAACAGACAGTTCACCAAGAGTTACAATCTGCTGATTCACGAGAGAACGCACACTGACGAACGACCGTATTCTTGCGACATCTGCGGAAAGGCGTTCCGCAGGCAGGATCATCTGCGTGATCATCGGTGAGTTAGAGTTAACAAGTTCTTTTTATTACGCAACTGACGTTTGAAATCGGTTCTATAGTGGTGATCTTCTAATATCGCGTGGTTTCGATGATTTCGAAGACAGTTGTTAATTCGGATAATTGCAGCTGTTGAGAAAAGCAGTCAATTTTGTTTTAATCATATGTACACGTCGATGTAATTGTCTTTGATTTTTGGAAAATTGATAAAAGCGACTGGCACAGTTTCTGATTTCACTAATTTGAGTACCGTAAGAGTGACCATTCGAGTTGTAAGGAAAACTTTCGTCCGAATGTTTTGCAAACATGTCAGTTTCTTACACAAAGTTGTTAGTTCAATTGGCGAATCACGCTGAACATTCCAGCTTGACATTCGGTTTGACAGCTTGCAAGACGATCTATTAACACGTTAAATGAAACTCGACTTCAATCTACGCAAATAACGGTCCCGGCTTTGATTCTTTATATACTTTGTTTACACCCAGGCGTAGGCATTGTTACCTGAATAATATGTTTTGCTGTAAACACAACATAAACGTGAACCAAAACAAGCAGTTAACGCGTCAAGTAAACATCGTTTGAGTTTTGATTTGAAATTCGTTTATAATTTTTCGATATAAGCGAACCACACACATTAAAAACATTTTACTTTGGACAAATCAAGAACACGATAATAACAAACGTGTTCTGTTTACAGGTATATTCACAGTAAAGAGAAACCGTTCAAGTGTAGCGAGTGTGGAAAAGGATTTTGTCAAAGCAGGACTCTAGCCGTGCACAAGATTTTGCATATGGAAGAGTCTCCGCATAAATGTCCAGTTTGCGCCCGAAGCTTCAATCAAAGAAGCAATCTGAAAACTCACCTACTCACGCACACAGACGTGCCGCAGGACTTAAGAATCGAGGTACCGGCGACAGCGGAGCCACGAATCACCGCCCCCGCGACCGTCAAACAGATGGCGGATAGGGTGAGCGGCCTGACCCCCATTCAGAGGACCAGTACGAGTGCTCCGAAACTTGGGTTCACTATAGAAGACATAATGAGACGTTAAATACTTTTTTTTTCTTAATCCTCCGACGACCGTGCTTTAGGAGATCCCGTGTATACATACATACTTATCATTAAGGGGGATTTACACATGCTAGTAAAAAATGTTTAGTTCGTATGCCACTAAATACAGCAGTGCTCGGTTAAATTTGACAATTTCAGAACGTAAAACAGAACGTGAACCGAACTAAGTTTTGCTGACTTGACGTAAATTAATGAAATTAAAGCTTCATTTCTTCCGAATCGACAAATCTAGACCGATTTACGTCGTGTTCGGAGTGATTTTAATCGCAAGAATCTCAATAAGCTGGTACTACATTTGAAAAGCTAAGACTGAAGCGACTGAAACTGAGATTTTCATCACTGTATTCGTTTGCTGTTTTTGTTTACTGCGTTTAGATTACACTGACAGCGCGAGCTCGAGACAGTGAGTGGTAGGGGAAAGTGGGGACGGTTCAAAATGTAACCGAGAGGATAGTTTATAATTTAACCGAGCGGATTGTTTACAATTTAACCGAGCAGCACTATAGCATGCTGCGTCGAATGTACACATTTGCTAGAGACGTGGTTTTGTTTACTGCTCGTACACTGCCGACATTAGCACGCCAGAAATTAAATATTGTCCTTTTTACATCCTTTTTACAAGCTTCTTTGCATATAAACGCGCTATTAGGTATTTGATAGCCCCAGGCATGCTTTCATTCAAGTTACTAGCATCTGTAGTCTCGCCTTTAATTGCCGGGAAGTTTGGTTATGGGACGACATAAACCTTACATTGTAAGGGAAAGAAAGGTAGGTGTACCGTTGTGTTTTGTGTAATGCAACGGAATTTAGTATGTTTAGTTTCGGATAATCTCAAGGTAGAACTGTAAACGAAACACTGGTCTTAGTTAGGACTTTTCGTCCGACCTAATCGGTCCGACCATTCAGACCTCCGTTGCTTTCATATGTCGTTTTTCCTGTAACAAACTATACTTAATTCAAGTCACAAGTGACTCCAACGCAGATCCCGATTCAGTTAGGATTAGTTTATAGATTTTTAATACATTTAGAAATGTGTACCAACCTGCGTGCTGCATTAGTACAATGGTTCTCAATATTCTCGCGTCATAAACTTTCAATTTTCTAGTGATCGTACAAACGTCACTTGTGACCCGTTATTTAGTGGTAGGGGAGCATCTCGAGCGGCTATAATAAAAAATTACTTTAACGTAATTGCCTGGCACACGGTCGCCGGAGGATTAACATTTCTATTTATTTAACACTGATCTAAACAAGGCACTAGGCAAATTGCCGCGCAATAAGATTGCCAGTTGCATTTTCTAAAGTAACTCCTACCATTAAACGCGACTGCAGCACGCAGGTTTACATCCTGCCGCGAGTCGCCTTGTAAATATGTTTGCGTCTACGTTATTTGGCTCGATTCCGTTCGCGACGAAAGAGAACACGAGATTTAACCGCGCCTGTATCCTCTCGTGATCTGTAAATAGCCGCGTACTTCTACTTAACTATAAATTCATAATCGTATCGCCGAAAAGCTGCTCCATGTTCCTTTCATCTCGTCCGAGTATCTTAGGGAAACGGACCGTTGGATTCCCAAGAATTCGTCTTGACATTTAACGCTAGAACTACCGTGCCTAACACGATTAACGCGTGACCTCTAAAAAATTGAGATTTATAAACAATTTCTTCGTATTTCCAACACAGTATGCAAGTGAAGCTATTCCTAAAATCATTTCGTACATTGAAGACTTTAAACACACCAATAACCGCGGAATAAGAAACTCCAGACCCTCCATTTTGTCGGACACAGTGGTTCTAGCGTTAAAATCATTTTTTACCTTAACAACGTTCCGCTGCGCGCGTAAGTCTCATATTTCTCTCAGTTTGTAATCGTTCAATCGCCAATAGCAGACTCGAACCATGGTAGATCGTAAATTCGATCACGATTTTGCGTCGCAACGCGCTGCAACGCTAGCTCGTCCGAAGAGCTTGCGCGGGACAAAAAACGTTCGGGGTTGTGGAGGGTTGTGAGGTGCCCCGAACGATAAGCCGAGGGAATAGAAGACGGACTTCTCGGGGAGAACCGGACTAGAAGCATTCTGGTCGCGGGACCGACCTGTGAATAACGAGGCATCGTTGTATCTCCCGAGGCGTCAAAATAATTGGTCACTTCGGACGCAGACAACGATCTGTGCCCAGGAAGCCGCAAGGTGTTTTCCGTTTATCGGAACGTAAATCGAGTTTCCTGGCCGTGTACGCGCGCCTCGTTTCTCTCGTCTCTACCGTATTTTCCCCAGAAAATTAGGAATTCCTGATCAGATAAGGGGAATAGGCGAGGGACACCTTCTGGTAGTTACCTTAGGCCCTCGCAGCTCCTGGACCGCTCGCCCCGCGCCAATCACCAGTGACCTGTAAATAGGCCCAAAGATCTTTTTTCCTCTTCCACTGTTTAAATCTAGAAAAGGTCTTAACGACAACGCAGACCACCCACGTCTTGTACATACGCATAGTTTATACCAAACACCCGTGCAAGTTGCGTTTCGCCGTATCGACCGGCGCGGGATGTCGTGACCCGTTTGCTTCGTTGCTGGAGCAAGTCCCTGCGGGTTTCAATAGTTCCAGATTATAGATTTCGTGGTTGTAAAAAAGACTGTGCGTGATAAGAGGTGCTTTTGAAAACTTCGGAGTACGGGAGAGTTGATTGTTTAGGTCGATTTTATAGCCCTCTTGTGGGACTGCTTTTCTAGACAGTATTTGAAGATTTCTTTTCTTCGAAGTAGAAACGAAAAGTTTTAAGTGATTCATTGTTTCTTAAGTATTTTATTGACTTTGTAGTTAGAGAAAATTATTACATGACACTGTCGCGCTTGTCATGGAAATTTTGTATCGACTAGTGATTTGATCTTTTTGAATTCAGTTTAGGTTAACGGTTCACAACGTTTATTTTGGTCATAGAATGTAAAATGTACCCGATCGTCAGGAATAATTACCATACATTTTCATAAAAAATCTGTCATCGTTGCAATATTTCTTTTTGCGTTCTTGTATGGTGTTTTCGCTCGCTATATGCGAAGATACACATTCGTCTACCGATTAAGTAATTATAGTATGGCGCAACGAATTCGACTGCCGGAAAGTTGATGGGTGACTGTATAGGGTGTAGATACGTGGTAAAGATACCAAATAAAATGTGGAATGAGATGATGATGACTAGTCTATATAATATATTTAAATATTGTTGTTATTAATTGGAAATAGAAATTAATTCAAGCAACATTAAACGCTGAGTACTTTATTACCTTTACCCCTTTTTTCTTTGTCTTTTTATAGTTTTATAGTTTTTAGTATTTTTCGCAGTTTGTTAATGATTTCAAGATGATTTCAAAATCTTTAATTTAAGATCTGCTTTCAAATGATCAATTAAATGATTGACATATCTTTTCCATGAATTTATGTTTAGTAAGATTGTTCTTGGAGTATACGATTGTTTTGAAAATACGTTTTCTAATTATTAGGTTCATTTTTATTCTGCAAGAAAACAATTGGAAACAATTGTTTTAATTCACTTGTTTGTTTGCATCAATAATTGCATGACAGTGAAAGTTGCGACGTATTTGATGAAAATTAATTATATTAAATTAATTGAGTCAAGGAAAATAATTAACCTTCAATGACTGGTTATATTAGTTATGAGTAATTATAATTATTTCAAGGCATGTGATGTTAATGATTTTTCATGTTTATTTTACCATTTGCTTAATGAATCATTGTATATCTATATTTATTTGAGCTATTTTAGTGTCAATAAGTTCTTAAAATGAAATGAGACTTCTATGTTTAATGTCTAAAGTAACAAGATAAAAGTGTTATTATTAGTTTAAAGAAAAATATAAATATAAAAATAAATATATATATAAATAAATATATTAATAAATTTATTTTTATATTTTCTTGTTAATAGTTCGTTTAATTTAAATTTTTCACTTTGAGCTTAACTCACTATTATAAGGGTTTAATTATTAAGTTGTTAATTTAATGACATCGTATCGAATTATTCGATTAAAAATATATTCATAGCAATTGAGCACAGCATATGTTATACATCAATTTGCAGTCTGCTATATATTATACTTCATTTTGTAAAAATCCGTATAAAAATGTGTTATTTGTAATTATTAACTCAACATATTTTCTATATTTTAAACATATTTGTTCAAGACACGATTTCGATTTTTCCGTAAATTTTCTAGTAACTCAATAAGACAATCAAAATAATCAGTATGTTCGATTCGTTTTAAATTATATTTTATTTATGGCACAAACACTTGTGAAACACTAAGGAAATAATGAAATCTTATAGAATAACTACCTTTTCATATAGAAATAGATATAAGATATCGACAAATACTGAAATAGTTATTTTAAATTTTTTGTATAAATATAGACTTACAGAAATATATAATATTCTAAATATTAGACTTCCTAAATATTATTTATATTCAGCATACGTAGCTGCTCCATGTCCTTTCAGAAATTAATTTTGCGAGAGTGGTTGATCCTTCGTGCATCGCTTTGCTCTTTCTTTTCAACAACCATTTATTTTGTGCACCGTTACCGTCGAGTTCTACTTGCCAGACTATCACGTTTTCCCAACAATGACCAGCAGTTAACCTGCTTGCTGTGCAGTTAGTCCTGTTTAACTTTAATTAATCCCTCCACCCCTCGGGCGACAATAAAGCATAATGAAAAACCGAGTAAACAACTCGGACTAACCTATATTCTTTTTCGTTACCGGGGTGACCTGGAATCATTACTGTGTCGCTCGTACCCTTCTCTCGGTTTGGATTGATTCATATTTTCGTTTCCATTTCTCTTTCGTATCGATAAGATGAGCATTGTACGATTATATTTGTATCGTATTATATTAACCCTTAATCCTTCGCCTTATCAATAATTTCTAAAAAAGGCAAAGAAATTTTAATAATTTTTTATATTAATTCACCCGGAATGAATAATATTGATTGTAATCTTAATTACTATACTAATCTAGAAATCTTCATCGCGAGTCTCAATCGTTATTATACGGCAAGGGGTAAAATATTCTATTTCTCGTATTGCAGTAATTAAAAAATTATTAATACCACAAAGATGAATTTATGTACATTAATAAATAATATTTTTTAATGTATACGCAATTCTATGCAGTATTCATGTAATTGTCATAGAACAAATTGACAAATTTGTTATAGAACGTTGAAGATTTGAAAAAGTACCATGCATTAAAAGATTATAAAAATTAAATCTTATTATAACAATAATAAATAAAATAAATATAAAACATTGAATTCTACCGCCGTAAATGACCTTAATTAATTTCCCGGAAAATAAATACAAGTTTACACCCAACAACATTGAAACTAAATCTAATGCAAAGGGTTAAACGAGAAAAACGAACAATGTGAAATAAAAGAGAAGCAGTAATTAGAAGCCGGTTGATGAATTATGACATCGATTCCTAAACGAAATCTACAGTCGATTACGATTTATCCGGCGAGGAGTAGTGATTTCGAAGCGACCGGTCCGCCGATTGTTTCTTTTCCGCAATTTCACAATCGTCAGGATTTATCGTGCCGCAATCATTGAGGGGGTGCGAAGAATAATTGCCGCCTTCTCGAAATTCTCGATAAGATTCCGCCAGGAGAAAGGATACAAAGAGATACATCGGCGATGCAGGTAGCTAACCGTGGTCCTAGCGAAGGCGGTCGGAAGAGGTGAGGCGGTGGAGGAGGGACGAGGAACCGAGACACATTTAGGCGAAGAAAGAGAATACGAAGCGGGTGGACGAGCCCTTCTGTACCCTTTACTGATGCCCGCAGGGACGATTTAATTACAATAATCATAACGTTACGGTTCCTGGTATCGCGGCAACTTCTCTATGACTTGTCCCACGGAGAGCACTAATCGTTTTCCTAAATCGAGGACAGACTCTCTTGGTCCAGGACCGCCTACAACTCGGTCCTCGGATGCTTATTTCCTAATGAAAAATTCAGGATCAACTGATTCGTAATCGAGGTTAAGCTTTCGCGTGAATATTATTTAAATATAATGAAACTTCAAATTATTGGCCCGGAGTCTTTCGAATTGAGATTATGTGATACATTCGGGGTTGAGTATTTAATTTTTAGAGAAACTTAATGGGACAGTGATTTGCAGTTGAGATTGGGTGTCAATTTATGCAGGCAAAATTCGATGTAATATTTCTTGCTCCTTGACACTACTTTGGAAATATTTAACTAAATCTTGTGCATTTTGGAGAAAGTTATTTGGTGAAGTTGTATTGCTAATTTAATACAATTATATGATTCTTGAAATATTTAAAAAAGTGAATTATTTCTCCTTGAATATTGTATGGATTTAACGCGTGAGAAAAGTTTCTTCTAAAAATTATTTGTGGATAATTATATTCAATTATTCATCGGTTAAGTAACAGTTATTCCGGTCAATTTCACTTTGATCCTACAATAATGACGTTAAAAAATAAATGACAACTTCACAACGTGCAGAATGCTACACGACAGATTGCAATTCTATTTCAGATACGCCCACTGATGCGACAGTGTTTATCACTTGCTGCGATCGATTGATCTAAACACGAATCTGTATGCATAACGATATTCCGTAATATCTGATAAATGTCGTATCGTTCGTGTTATCTCTAAAAAGACTTTGAGAATTAATTTTTTGGGACCTGCAGTGACGATCGCATATGTCCAAAGTATTTTTTGACGATCGGCTTCTGTTTGTAAGGACACAAATATGCACGCAAGTGCACAATTCCTCATATATGACAATTATTGTTTCATACGCAAATAGAATTTGTAACAGTATATAATTTGTTTAAAAATACGTTTCTTTTATTTAGAAATTATGTTAATTTAAGAACACGAAGGGATTATTTAATTTTTGCAGTTCGTATTTAAAAAGCAAGTGTAATAATCGAATTTTCATTTTATTCATTGTCTTCATTTCCCTTCTTTCATTTAATGTCATCAAGGTTAATCTTATTTACTTTTATAATGAATAAGTATCATTTACGTCCACTTTAATCGTATTTTAAGTGCTCTTATTTACAAATTAATAAAACTATTAAAGATTTAATGATTTTGTTAAAATTACTTTGTCTATTAACATTATCCTTAACTTTTTGTTTTGATCTTTTTCTAAATATAGTAGCTGCAATTGATTACAAAGACAATTAAGTCGAACAACGTTTACGTTCAGTTTCACAGAGAGTTTCATTGGCAACGGGGTCGATACTCTCTCTTAATTTCGTTCTCCAAAATAACAAAGGGAACAGGTATTCTCCATTTTGGGTGATTTTCGTTTTGCGGTTAGTAAGTTGCTGGAAACTGATGCTCCAAAGCGTTAGTAATCGTTGCAGTTTCTTCGGCAGCGAGAAATTCCCAGCCGAAGTGCGTCGAGACAGCAATGATGCGGCTAAGGGTGGCTGCCGTTAATGAAAGAGAAAAATGGAGAGGAGTAGTCCACGCGAGAGAGAGGAATCGAAATTTTGGCTCATTCGGAAGTGGCAGAAGTTTTACTGCGTTCCCACAATTGCGGGAGTTGCTGGTTCACTAGCTAACGTAAAACTCTTCAACGTTTAAAAACCGACAATTGTATTTTTAACATTAACAGTCGTAGCGGGAAAGATTATAGACTGACAATAAGTACAGTCGTATAAGACAATATAAGACAATAAGTATAACTGTTAATTATGTTATTTATAAATATATATAGTAATGGGAATTTATAAATATTTTATTATGTAAGTATCATAATATAAATTATATTCTAATGGTATTAAACAACAATTTAATTCATCATTTTATTTCATTTATTACTTGCACCAGGTAATTATGAATGTTTTATACGAATTATTTCTTTATTTATTTTATATTGTTTGAAAATATTATGTTATACCATAACACTCTATAACTTGTGTATTCAATGTTTCTTGGTATCATTCATATTTTTCGAGAAAATTAATTGTTCTCAATTAACAGAAATCCATTATATGGTAACAAACAAATATGCTTATACTTCGACACTGTTTATCTTTGTACTAGAAAGGATTAGGTGGAGCAGAATATATTTAGAAATTTTACTATATTCATAGATTACAATACATTAGAAAAATACAATTTAACA